TCTTTGGTGTGAGTGTTGTCTTCTTGAAGTATTGTTGTCCCTGATGAATTTACAATGCAAGTTCTTCAGCGATCACTGAACATACTCAGTGATGATCGCTGTAACTGAAAATACAGAAACACAAATACAACGTGAAAGGAAAAAAGGATTATTATCAAATCATTGAGAGAGAGAATCAACAAACTCCAATAATAAAGTGGTGCCTATAATTTCATGAAGAAAAAAAATATTGTTACACGCGCGATCTCAATTAAATGAGAACCTCAAAGAGGTGGAGAACCTGTAAAACCAATCATAATCATCAATTTGCGGATATGGAAGTCGATCATATTATTCTTGTATTTTTAAGTTCTGAAACTAATTATTGGATAAATGACAAAATGGAAAGGGCATTAACGGCGTTTGACATCCAATCCATAATCGACAATATTTAACAATAGCATATAGTCAACAAATTTGGTGTTTAGATGCAAACCCTAAACCTAGAAATCAAATCCTAAACCATATCCTCGTCATTGCCATTGCTATTTGTACGCAACCAGGGCCGGCCCTGGCCACGTGCAACCTGTGCGGCCGCACAGGGCATCAAAGTCTAAAGGGGCATCAAGTTGTCATTGATTATTAGTTTTGAGTTTAATAATTTGGAAATTGAACAACTGAGCTTTAAGCCTAGTAGTGATGAATATTGAATGCACATCATAGAAAAAAGTTGAAAAGTTGGAAAAGTTTTTGTTTGGGAGAGTTTGTTCGCATATGTAAGGAGCATTTTTTTAGTTGGAAGGGACATGTTTGGAAAAAAAAACTTGGTTTTCTATATAAAGCTCCCTCTAGAAGCTTACTGGATAAGTCACTTTCTATATCATTAAGCCACTACGAAACAATCATACATAGTTGAGCGAATAAGTTGTTAGTTCCATTAAACTTATTAAACTGCTACCAGATTAGCCCTTAGTCTTTAGTCGTAAGACCTGTAACTTTTGAGTTTTACTTTTTGCTTACTATGACAGTAATTTGGATGTGATTTACTATTTTAGTTAAAAACTAATTATAATTTTCCTTGTATTTTAAGTCCCATATATTGAAATAAAGTTTCTGTTTTGCTAATTTCAATTTGGAAAAGGGAAAACTGAAAAAGAAGGAAGCGTGATCTTAATCCAGAAATTTATTCTCTTATATTTTGTATTCAGGGTTTTGGTTTTTGTATCCCCCCCCCATTGTATTTTTTATTATAATTAATAAAAATCTACATGAGGATGAGATACTTAGCTTGAATAGGTTCTAAACTCTTTAAAAAATCGCATGTTTCATTGACTTAAAAAAATAGACTTGGGGGTATTTTTATTATTTCCGCACAGAGCATCAAAAATCTTAGGACCGGCCCTGTACACAACGACCAGTTTGGTCGATGATAACTATAACCATGTACATTGTCCTTGTCGTTGTTATCTATACGCATCAACCGAGATGAAGACGGTGGTTTTTTGCGGTGATGGTGCCCCTGTACCATTCTTCTTCTTACTTCAACAACATAATGGCACTTTTCTGGTCTTCTTTTTACCTTGCACCGTCACATTTGAAGAGGCTAGAGTTGGCAATGATGACGCCATAGATTTTTCTAGACGACTAAAGACGGTGCTTTTGTTGGACATTAGGGGAGGATTTCGGTGTTCCAATTGAAGGTAGTAGTGGCGATTTAGGAGAAATTCCAGTAGATTCCTTATCATTGGGTAATTCTTTAAGCCGTTTTAAATGGTGGATTTGATGTATGTTGGATGTTGAGATGATTCTTCTTGTCCTCCTCCTCTTCTTGCTCCCACCAACTTCCAAATATTAAAAAAAAAATGATTCAAAATGAAAATCAATGATGTTGAAAAAGGGTTACCTAAAAACGAAAACGTGACACAGATTTGGGATTTTTTGTTTCCTAAAATTGTGTTTGATTTCATGGAATGAAATAACATATAGATGAAAATTTTGATGTCATATGGTGAAATAACATATATATGAACATGATGTTGAATTTCACAAGGTGAAATAACATATAGATGAAAATTGTGTTTTATTTCATGAGGTGAAATAACATGTGCAGTCAAAACTCCATTAAAGTTGAATTTACAATTTTGTCCTTTTAGCTTAAAAAGGTATATAAATCATAACCATTGAGATATAAATCTAATTATGGTTGAGATTGATTGATTTAATTTAAACCTTATAATGTAACCAAGTGAGAAATCAAAATCTGATGAGAAACATAAAAAAGTTATAAAATAATATTAACAAATATTAACATGTAAATGTTATTATAAGTTACCATTAAAATATCATTATAAATTACTATGAAAATGTGAACACAAATTGATATGAAGTGTTAAATTTGTGAGAATTCGAGAAGTTACAAGATTACATGCAATTACATGTGATGCAAACACGTTGCTTTGATCTGGCATAGAGCGAACGCTCTTTCCCGCGACCCTTGATTGAGTTGACCAAGCCATCTTGTCCTTTTACACTTGTTGTATCACATATGATTTTACTTCTGTAATACATGTGATCTTAAAATTTTATCGAATCCTTGTTTGATCGTGTCTACAAAAAAGTTGGCTTCCAGGAAAAACCACAAAGAAATGAAAAACTGATTAATACCCAATTAACCATTCATCTGTCCAGCATGCAGACACGCATAAAAATGATTATTAGAGTTGTCTTTTGCTATTTATTTTTTTGTGTATGGTTCTCCTTTTGAACATGAGAGTATGTATTGGATGCTTTGATTGTGCTCCTAATAGGGTTACATGTCATGTTGATGCCACCTTGACATCACACTTAAGTTTGTAAGACCCACTAGGGGTACGGAACAAGGATATATAATGGGATTGTGTCGACCACCCGGTGAACAAAAAGGAACCCTAACAAATTTACATCATTTTATTAATTTTCATCCTTTAAACATGTTTTTCTTTTAATGATTTTAAAACCCTTGAGTTTAAGAAGTATGAATCAGTTGTACCAAAAATAATTGATGATGAAAAACAAATTATGAGTAGAGAAAACAACATATTCAAGGTTAGGCCTATATTTTAATGTATCAAAGTATCAACCCCGATCAACCCGTATGGTTCGGGTTGGGTTGAAATTTTTCAAACCATAAACATTGAATTGAGTTGTTCAAATGTTATCAACCCGATCCATGAACACCCTTAATGATAACTAATAAGCTAGATGACAATGTAAAATGACCTAAAAGAATACGTTGACAATTTTACTTTTTTCCAACATATAAGAGGTATGATTGGAAATAAATGAAGAAACCCCTATAGTTTGTTGAAAAGTATCCAAAGTCATTTTCTTAAAACTAGGTTTATAAGCTAGTTCATATCTTAGCAAACATGACTTTTTCAATAAGTTCAGGAAATAAGCTAGCTTATAGCGCCATACATGTATAAATTTAAGTTACAAACCAAACCTATGTTGCAATTATATAAACCCTAGATAATTGATACTTACGCTTGATTCGCTCGCCAAAAGAGCATTACTACCACAACGGATATCATCATAAACATGACATCATTAATACTACCAACACGATCGTTCAAGATCACAAATATGTCATCCCCACTATTGCTATCATACAAGAAGCAACAGCAACAATCACCCTCACAACTACCGCTATTAGTATCGGTTTCACGCAACCATCATAATTAGTATGGTTGTGACCATTATAGATGCTATTCGCTACAATTATCTAGCTACAGACTTTTCAGTTCGCTCATATAAAAAAAAAAAAAAAAACCACATACGAATTTACTCAAAAGACAAAATTGAAAGTAGATTTCAACGTAGAATGAGTGACTTCAAGCGGTATTAGTACCTGTTTACTTCAAAAAATTTCAGTATTAGTCGAAATGTATGCAAGTTTACAATCATTACATTGTGAGTTTAGATGTTTTAAAAACTATAGGCCAAATTTTGTATTATTTTAATACAAGAAATTGTACAGACAAAAAGTTGATTACTGGTAATTTTAACCAACCCTATACGAACATGTTTTCAAAGACACCAATATGATGTTAACAGATTGGGCTGAGATCGAACCTTGAAACTGTCTTATATTTTAATAAAATGAGGTTGATTCTTTACCAACTAAGCTACACGCAGAAGAAACAAGAGTGGGGGCTGAAATGATATGATGTAGAAGTAGAAGGATTGATGGGTTTGAAATGGTGAGGTGATGGTGATGGTGATGGTGATGGCGATGATGAAGAAGCACGCCTGCAAACAAGAATATTGAATGATGGATTCCATGGCACGCCCTTTCTTTCTTTCTCTCTCTAAAGATTTTGTTTTGCACAACTTCCCGAGGGAGCAAAATATCAAAACCAATAACACCACCTTATTTATCCCTTTTTTATATGTTTATTTTATTATAATATCTTTTTTATTTTTATTTTACATAAGAGGTACGGGTTGTTTGTTAATTGATGAATGATTTGGTGCAGAATTATTAAGAGGCTCTCATGATATAGTGCAAAATGAAATATAATTGTTTACAATTAAATTAGGGCACTTAATGTTTAAGGGAGACTTATGATATAAAATGATCCAGATGGTTTTAGAACCATTAAGAGACATATTTTTTTTTGCCAAACAAGATTCACTTTTTAACGATTCAGATGTTGCCTCTTAATGAGACTATTAAGAGGTAAACAAACAACCCCGTAATTTTTTTTATGTGAAATTTTAATCACTATAAAATTTATTTTAATTATTTATTTAGTTTAATGAATATTTGGTTTTATAAATATTTTATTTATTTTTATTAAATTAAAGCATTAATTATAATAAATTAACTTTGATCGTCCTCTATAAATATTCATACTATATGAATTGATTAAATAAATAAATATAATATTTGAGATTTTTTGAAACTTCATCTTATAATGTTATTTATTTAAAAAAGAATCAATAAAAATTAAATTTAAAACCATTTTATTTTTGGTTTACAAATAAAGTTGCATTCTATTATATGGTGCATGTACCTTTCTGATTATATTGAAATAAAAGTTTTATAATTTTTTTAAAAATATATTTCATATTAAAATAAAATTGGATTTATAGGACGTCTAATACGTTTAAGCGTTATAATATATAGATTTATAGAACTTAAGTGTATAAAAACAAACAAAAAATTGTTATCCCTAAAAGTGTTATAATAAGTTTATAAGACGTTATGAGTTTTAACAACAAAAAAAAACTTAAACAAAATGTCCTATTAACTCTTTTATAGCACATTTAACCCATCCTTTTATATGACACTTTTTCAAATAGTATTTTATACAATACCTTATTTCTAAAATTACCTCAAAAACTTGTTGAACTTTATTTTTAAATAAATAAATTTTGAGTTTTTATATTTTGAGTGATTAAGTCATTGACTTTTTTTAAATAATAAACCACTGAGATTCTCGAAATTGGTTGTTTACAACCTTGTAACCCCAAAAGAATATTTGCAATCGGCTCTGAAGGTTTTAAACCCCTCGCGCCAAACCACATCACTCTGCCTTGTCGTACTATCATCGTTGGCCTCTTCATCACTGTCGTTGCCTCCTGTATCAATTTCTCTATTTTTAATATGTTTTTTTGTCTTTTGATTATCCCCTTTTTCCAACAATTTAGTGGAATACATATAGACAGATAAAAAATGGGAAGAACCAAAAAACAAAAAAACCATACAAAAAAGAGTGAGATTAATGACGGAGACCAACGACGATAATGTACAGTGATGGAGAGTCTATGACGATGGGGTGGTGAGGGGGACAATGTAGTTGGGTGTGAAGCGTTCGAATTACGTAAGATTTGAGAACAATTAAACTGTTTTATGTTTTTTTTACTTTAAAATATTCATAGCCAATATTTAAAAATTTGATGGTTTATTTATTAAAATAAAAATATTTAGAGACTTAATCATTTAAAATGAGAAAATCCAATAGTTTATTTATTAAAAAAAGTTCAGACACTTAATTATCCAAAATGAGAAAGTTTATTGGTTTTTTTTTGTTTCTTTCCTTTTAACAAATACATAGATGCTTACTACAACTAGTATTTTGCTTTGAACATGGTTCTTGCCTAGTGATAAACAAATATCATAATTTTGTAAAATTCACATTTAAATTAGAATTTCTTTCATAAACTAATACTTGTTTTCGAAATTGATCAAATCAGTCATTCTGAACGAGCCTCTTCAGATTTTCAACCTATTTCTTCTAATTAGGGGTTGGGTTGTGATGCCATAACGTGATTCCCAAACTGAGAGACTAGACAAGACTAAAAGACTAAGATATGTGGAAGAAGGTATGAAGAATATGAAATAACAAAATAGCCAAAAGTTCGCAAGTATTCATTTTGCAACTTGCAAAATATATACATTTTGTATCTAAATTAAATATGCATCCGGTAGGGTCCGTTTGCGAAATCCTCCAGGTGGCTTGTGAAATGACCCACCAAGATCATATTTTGTTCATAGAAAAATATATTACTAAGTAATAGAATGAATATTTATAAAATATTAATAAAAAAATATTAACTATTTTGGTTAAAACCAAAAGAAAAGACTTAGAATTCAAAATGTCTAATTTAATCATTTTACATGGAGAGTAAATTACATGTTTTATCCCTGTAGTTATACATTTTTACGGTCTTTATCTTCTTCTTTTTTTGAAAATTCAGTAAATTGTGTCCTTATGGTTGCATTTGTTTCTTAATGCAACCAGATAGATTCAAATTCAGGTCGTTGATTAATTTAGGAACCAAACTTATTAACAAATCCCATAATCATAGAGACCCAACTTATTAAAAAAACACAACCACAAGGATATAATTCGTCAAAAAAGTACAGTTACAATGACACGTCCGGTTAAATTTTCAGAAAAAAAGAGCATCTCTAACAACTTTTCTAAAACATAAAAGAGCAAGTTTTTGTTCTCTAAAATGCTCCAATAGCTTTACTATCTTGTTCTCTAAAATAGAGAATTATGAGAGGAGCTTCCATGAACCACACCTTTTTTCCAGGTTAATCAAAAAAATAAAATAAAATAAAATAGAGAATTATGTAGAATTCTCTAAAACTTGATGGTGAGAAAGAAAAAATGATTATTTTATTCAATTCAATCAATGAGATGAGTTATTATTTTTATAAAAGTTTTTTTTAAAGTGTATTGGATGATAAATTAGAGTATATTATAATAAATATAATTTATGTTAAAATCTCTAAAATAGAGAATTTATTGGAGATAAATGTAATTCATTTTAGAAGATTTATGTTTTGAGAAAAATTGTAGAGAGACTGTTGGACATTGAGTTGCAATGAGTAGGGTAAGGGTTAATCGGTCACCAATCCATTTAAAAATAACGGGTAAAGAAACAGGTAATTATCCATGTCATAAATTCTTATTCATATCCATATCCATATCCTACCCACTAAGATAGCAGGTAATGGGTAAATGGTAAAAAAAATCATTTTAAACTGCAATAATGTTAAAAATCAACATTATATAAGTAAAATATAAATTCATAACTATCCTTATTTTATATCTAATTTGTTTCAATAAACATTGTGATATTGTTTTAAATATGATATTTTATAAAACAATATAAAAATCTAAAAACAACATTATGTTTGTTATATTTATTTTAACGACCTCATATTGCTTCTCATTTAATTAACCCTTGTAGTTGATGAATATAAAAAGAAAATTAAATACCAATTAAATATGTTATACAACATATAAGATAACATTCTAAAAAATATATTAATATTTAACTTTATATAATTATATGTATGTATGTGTGTGTGTATATATATATATAGGAGCCTAATCAAATGAGAACTAATTAGTTTATGGTAACCGTAAGGTCCAATCTCAACCACAAATTAATAGATAAATTAGAAAATTTATAATTTTGGTAATTTTGAACTAAAATTTTAATGCAAGGACATTTTAGGTATTTTAAAACTCTCCTCTTCTCTTCTCTCTCCGTCCTCCGGCCACCATCCTCTGGTCACAGTGATATGACAATGCATTTTATATGTGTTTGGATATCATACTGAGGTCGTTTGTGTGGTCAATCGGAGATGTAACACAGTGGTATCATAATGCATCTTATATGTGTTTGATTATCACATTGTGTCTTTTGTTTAACAGAGTCAATATTTTTAAGTATCACCGGAGGACGGGGGATGAAGAGAGAAGAGAGGAAAGATGAGAGTTTTTAAAATACCTAAAATGTCCTTGCATTAAAATTTTAATTCAAAATTATAAATTTTCTAATTTATCTATTGATTTGTGGTTGAAATTAGATCTCACGGTTACCACAAATTAGTCAATTCTCTTTTGAATGAACCCATGTGTATATATAACAAATTAGTCAATTCTCTTTTGAATGAACCCATGTATATATATATATATATATAGATATACACATGTAATATATATATATATATATATATACACACATGTAATGGGTAAATGGATAACGAAAAACAATTTATTTATATCATACCCAATTACCCATTAAAACGTCGGGTAACGGATAAATTGATAAAATTTTCTTTTACCATACCTTTATCGTGAGCAAATCAAATCAAAAGATAACAAATAATGGGCTTACCTTTACATTGACAGCCATGCTGGAATAATAAAAGCATCAACCAAACATGTAATGAAATAAAGTTGGGTTGCTGAGTAGGTGTTTTGAGGAATAAATAGAAAGAGAAGAAAAGAAGCCACGCGGGGAAATCAACCTTTGAAATCCCAACATATGATGTTTTCGGGAAATCAATGAGGATTTCGTCTTCCAGTTTATCTATCATCACCATCACCATCACCATCACCATCACCATCACCATCACCATTCACCACCATCTCTCGTTCTCACATTAATTAATCTACTTCCCACTTTTCACTTCACTCCTTATATATATATACCATACGATTCTATGTCTAAATCTCCATCCTACCTTCATACCCTCCCTTCCCTTCTCATATACAACAAAAATGGGTGATATTTCTTTCTCCAATGCCAATTCCAATGGCAACACCAATGTCTATTCTCAGAGGAAAAGCTGTTGGTATGAAGAGGAAATCGAAGAGAATTTGAGATGGTGCTTTGCCCTTAATAGGTTTCTTTTGCACTTCTCCTTTTCTTAATCTCTCTCTCTCTCTCTCTCTCTCTATCGCTTCTGTTCAGAATCACTGGTTTATTGTTAATTTCGTTCGTTTTCTATCGGAAAATGAGGTTGGTTCAATTATAAGTGTCTCTGGGTAAGACTGCAGTTTAGCTGTTCGATCTTATTCCAGACAGAAAGGCCTAATTGCAGGGTTTCTCTTAAAACAAAACGATTGTGTTGTGACAAAAAGGTTGACCTTTAGTTGTTTCTTAAAGTTTATAAAACAACTACTAGTATTGTATACAGACCACCGTTTTTCTAAAAGATTTTATATAGGGAAAAGTTGAACAGCATTAAGAGCATCTCCTATGCAAGATTCAAAGTAAAAAGAGTAGCTTCTTGTAAGAACCTTTATAAAAAATACTTGGTTCTTAACATGAAGTTTATATAAAATGACAATTTACTAATTTTTTTTTACTGGAGATGCTCTTAGTGGCAAACTAATCTCTTGCCCCTATGCGTTTTACAAGTATCAAGACACCTTTGGTTCAACAATATAGCCTAGGGGTAGTTTACAAATTGAGTAAACTTTTACCGGGTAAAAGTCACCAACTTCATTTAGGTTATAAGATTTTCGGTTTTTAAAATATATAGTATTAGTATCTCTTACCTGGTGAATGTCATCTTTACTTACTCGGTAAGATTCACGGTTAGCAAAATGGTATAGTAAGATTGATCATTGATCTCTTACCGATTAAGATGCAATAAGTGTCTAGTTAACCAATTAAGAGGCGGTAATTGTTTAGTAAACAGCCTTGGGTTTGTTTTTAAGAGGTGGGATGTGTTTTACAAGCAAATTTATGTACTACTTCAAATGTATTCCAGTATACTGCACACAGGAGCCACTCAGTTTCAGGACATTCAACTTTTGGACACCAAACCCTTTGGGAAGGTAATTTAATTACTTGTTGTTTTCTAGTTTTTCATGGTCTTTTTGAAATCTTTGCTTGTTCATAATCCATATATATATATATGTATATTATATAACTGCAGGCTTTAGTGATAGATGGAAAGTTGCAAAGTGCAGAAATAGATGAATTCATATACCATGAATCTCTTGTTCATCCAGCACTTCTTCATCACCCAAAGTAGTCCTTCATCTCTAGTTGTTCATCCAGTTTTTTTTTTTTTTTTGAAAATTATATATATCGATCGTTTGCTATTTGAGACTTGTATGTGAAAAATCTTTTGTTCAGTCCCAAGACCATATTTGTTATGGGGGGAGGTGAGGGTTCCACTGCAAGGGAGCTGCTTAGACACAAGACTGTGAACAAGGTTGTCATGTGCGACATTGATGAGGTGACCCTCTCTAACCCCTTCATTTGCATATGTGCTCTTTCTATAAACAGTATATGCGTCTTAACTTACTACGCATCAAAATATAGGTCCAAAAATAGGCATCCTATTTAAAGAAGTCAATAAGTTGTTAGGCGACCTAACAAGTTCTATCTACAAAGTGGAGCAACCTAATAGGACACTAAAGTAAATAACCTTCTAGCATTTTTATGACACTTTTGAAATTGAAGAGGTCCTATAAATAAATTAACAAGAATGATTTACTTTTTAAGTCCAGCTTCGTTGATAGACCTTGTTTGGTCACCTAATTTCGTCCTAAAAGCTTATTGTGACTCCTTTAGATAGGACACACTGTTCTTGTTCCTATAATTAAATTAAAAGTCCCATTAAGTTCTACTAGAACGCCCAATGAATGATTGAACATCCTAAAAGACCAACTTTGTTGTAGTGGATTATGCGCTGATTGATCACATTTGAAGATGGTACCATGCAACACTAATTGTATATGCACTTAAAAACAAAATTCATAACATATGAACAGGAAGTGGTGGATTTTTGCAAGTCGTATCTGGCGGTTAACAGCGAAGCTTTCTGCGATCCACGACTTGAACTCATCATCAATGATGCAAGGTTCAATTTGTGTTCTAAATTCCTTGTTATCAATGTATAATTCGAGCGTTAATTCCTAGAATCTAAAGCAAATAATATTACATCTTATATCGCAGGGCGGAGCTAGAGAAGAGAGAAGATAGATATGATGTGATCATAGGAGACTTGGCAGACCCCATAGAAGGAGGCCCATGTTACCAACTCTATACCAAGACCTTCTATGAACTAACTGTAAAACCCAAACTCATGCAGGGTGGCATTTTTGTCACACAGGTAAATTACAAAACAGAATATTTGTCACTCTCGGGTTATAATTGGCTTTTTCCAAAAAATGTGGGACCCACATGAAAAACTTGGCTTTTTCACAATCTCCTATCCATAGTGGCGAATAAGTACCATTGTGGGTGTTGTTATGAGGTGGGTAAAAAAGTCCAAGTTTGACTTTGTGCAGGCTGGACCAGCTGGTGTTTTCAGCCACACAGAAGTGTTTTCGTGTATTTTCAACACTCTTAAACAGGTTTTTAAATGTAAGTTTTCATCATACTTGCTTCAATCAAAGCTTTACACACCATGTTTTCTTGGATATATTTCATTTAATTGGCCAAATGACGAACAGATGTTGTGCCATACTCTGCTCACATTCCTTCCTATGCTGACATTTGGGGATGGATCATGGTAATCTTGCTATATGCATTTATATTTCATTAGAATCATCGTTGAACTTTTATGTAGCAATCACTGCAACAAAATTGGGTTTACAGGCCTCCAAAATTGTGTAAGAGTCCTAATAGACCACTTTATAGGACCAAAAACTTGTCTGTCCTATGTGAAAGCGTTGCAATAAGTTTATAGGATGCTCTTGGGCTTCTTTAACATGTTTTTAGGATGCGTTTGAAATAAAGCGTCCTATTATTTTTTTTTATATAACATTATTTGAAAATATATCTGATAAAAACAAATGTGCAATAAAAAAAAATGTCTTGTAAAAAAGATAATACGACACTTTAGTTTAAGTGTCTTGAAAACTTGTGAAAACATCCAAATTATAATATAAACTTACTGCAACTATTTTAAATAGGTATCACAATTGTTTGATTCTATAAACATAAATCCTATAAAAGAGTCTATTAGGATACTTAGACATTTTTTGGCGTCCTATAAAGCCGATTTTGATGTAGTGAATCTTGTTGACATACATCAACTATATGTGTTTTGAACTTGATGATAGGCATCAGATTACCCGATAACGCTGAGCCCAGATGAATTGGATTTGAGAATGAAGCAAAGGATCAAGGATGAGAACAGATACCTTGATGGCAAAACATTTGTTTCGGCTTCTACTTTGAGCAAAGCGGTTCGAAAATCGTAAGAATTTAACGTTTTGTTAAACCCATGATCCATTTTTGTATCTTATAGTCCAGATGATCATGGTTTGTGGAGAAATTTGAAATATGTATGTACTTTTTCCAGGTTGGACGACGAAACACATGTGTACACAGAGGGCACTGCAAGGTTCATCTATGGGCATGGCCATGGTTCGGCTAACAAAAACAATCATGCTTGATAACGTACCTACGACTAGTTGGATGAAGAATATACTACACGCGAACGACAACAACTCAAGAATTAAAATTCCCTTTTTAATGTTTTTATTTGTTACTTTTTGGCTTTTAAATTACCTCTTCTTTGTACTTGGTTTCTTTTTCTTATTATGTAGCTACAATGGTAAATTCCTAAATGTTAATGAATTTCTCTGAAAAACTGAATCGGAAGCCAAATATTATATTCACTATGTGAACTGACTATAGTCATGAAAGCTCCAATAATTATTTACTAGTTATGCCAAATATGTGTCCTTACTCATTTGTCCCAACAGTAGAGGTGTAGGTGTGATCCATAAGTGTGAGATCTCAGGTATGAGCTTGTGCACTGCCCCTCTGCCAATGGGATGCATTTAGGGGTTGTTTGGTTGGTTTTTCATTAAATCATGTATTGACAAAGCTTTTTGTATAGATTAATCTATCTGTATAGATCGGAAAGATTTTTGTTTAAGAGAGTTTTTTCATAGATGGAACATGTTTTTTAGCTGGAAGGGGTAGATTTGGAAAAAACTTTAGGGATCACCCTCATCAGCTCGAATGAAAGGGAGAGTTCGTCTGAAAATATTCCTACAAATCTACCAGCAGGCAGAGCAGAGGGAGAGTCGGGGTAGAGGTCGTGGAAGAGGAAGGAACAGTCAACCTGAAGTTCATCCATACCAGGGTGAATCATTTCACGAAAATATAAATCAAGAACCAGTGCAACCCCTGAGTATGTTACTCGGGACATGTCAGCGGAAGAAATGAGTAAGTTAAGAAATACTCTGACATCTATTCTGGGAGTACAGGCCAGGGTAAAGACAAAAAGGGTCAAAATAAACCCATAGATTCAATCTACAAATACCAGAGGGGATGATATCAAAATGTTTTTAATTTGTAAACCCCAACATTTTCTGGAGAAAGAGACCCGGTGAAGACTATGTTGATCCTCTCTCTCAGTGATTTAATGATAATCCCTTTTTCCTTTTCGATGTATTTCTGTATCTGTAATTTCAGTTTCAGCGATCATACACTGAGCTTGTTCAGTGATCGCTGAAGAACTTGTTTTGAAATTCATTCAGAGACAACGAT